ACCCCACATGATATCTACCCCACACGCTTATTATTCCTATTAGGACATGATCTCTATCCCGCATGCTAATGTCAAACAAATCCTAACAATATATTTGTCTAGTTCACATGTTTTGAACAGAAAGTAAAGCAGGAAACAAAGTAGTCTAGGGTTTGAAATGAGGCTTTAGGGTGGGTTCTAATTCCCTGTATTCTCTCGGTTTTGGTTCTAAAACATGTACCCGAGTTCTCCTTGCCGGTGCCCCCTTGGGTTTACCAGACCCTTAGTCCTAAGTCCATTACAAACTTATGTGGACTAAGTTAAACTCGAGATGAAACAGTCCCTTATGTCCATACGGAGAATAAATTCACACGAAGACATAAGGTATATGAATCCCAAAGGTTACTTTCTAGGCTCATACGGTGAATAAATTCACACGAAGACGTCGCTTTCACCCCACTTAAAAGGGTTCGGAGTTCGGGTATAGAGTCAGAGATGGAAACTTTTTCAAAAATCTGAAATCATTGAAAAAACGTCAATATAACTATTTACTTGAAAAAAATAATATAATATAAATAATTAGAATTGAATAAATAAATTAAAATTTAAACTTGTAATTTTTGCTAAAAAAGACAACCAAAAATTAATTTCGACCTGACTCACTTACCTGTCCCCAATGGAGTCACCAAGCTGTCGTAATCGTCTTTCGGTTGAGCCCCGAATTGGGCTTCGACTTGAAATAATTGGGTTGGGAGTCGCCACCGATCACTTTAAAACGAATTTAGGTGGGTTGGACACCATCTTACCTGATCTGCGTTTTTATTAGAAATGTGTCGGGTTCGGGAGTCGGTTATGGTCAAGGAAGGATTAGCACTCTTGAACTACCCTTTCGGTACCAATTAATTTGCCGGTTGTCTTAAATTAAGAAAATTGTAATTTAAAATTAAAAGGTAAAAATACGATCACAATTACTTACCTTAGATAGTTTTAAATGTGTGATCTTAAGAAGGTCAAAAAATTATGTTATATAAAAAGGTAAGAAATAAATAAATAAAATTAAAATGAAGAAAAAACAAATTAAATAAAGGATAATATAATATAAAGAAAGTGAAGATAGAATAGTAAGTAAAATAAAAAATAAAGAAAAAGAAGAAAAACTATATATAAAATAAATAAATAAATAAATAAATAATAATAATAAAAAAGTAAAAATAATAAATATATATATATAAAAATAAAAAATAAAAAATAGTATATATATATATATATAAATTAATAAAACTGATAATAAAAAATAATATATGTATATATATATAATCTAAAAAAATAAAAATATATACTAAAGTAAAAAAAATACATAAAATGTAAAAAATATTACATGAAAAAAAAGAAAAGAAAAATAATAAAACAATTAAATAAAATGAGTAACAAGGGAAATACACGTATAAATAAAGTTAAATAAATAAAATAATAATAATTAAAACGTAAATGTAATAGACCGAATTAAAAGTAAAAAAGATGCTACCTTTTATTTCCTTTTCGAATCGTTTACAATAGCTTTGCCTTTGTATTTTCCGTGTTTTCTTCTGTATTTTTTATGTAAATCGTGTGTTATAAATGGGGAGGATTACATGTATTTATAGTGAAAAAAGCTAACTATTTTTAGAATCCTAATGCAACTAGACTCCTTGCTCGGTTGTTGCACGTTTGTTGGTGTGGTTGTTGCTTTAAAAGATATGGTGAGGGAAGAGTCCTCCTAGGAGAGAAACTCTTGCTAGTTCTATCTTTTAAGAAAATGAGTGTCTACACACATCATCTACATAGACAATTAGGAGGGTTATCTTACCACTCGGTGTAATTTTTTTGAATAATGTGTGATCCGCTTGGCTTTGTTTGAAACCATTATGTGTCATAGCCTTAGCAAATCGATTAAACCAAGCCCTGGGAGATTGTTTTAAGCCATATAAGGATTTATTGAGCTTGCACACAGTTTTCTTAGCGACCTTTCCTTCTAATCCGGAGGGACCTCCATGTATACCTCTTCTTCAAGGTTCCCATTCAGAAAAACATTCTTTATGTCTAGTTGATACAATTTTCAGTCCATGTTATCAGCTACTGATAACAATATTCTGATGGTATCAATTTTGCAACCGGTGTAAAAGTTTCCTGGTAGTCGATGCCATAGGACTGAGAAAAACCTTTAGCAACCAGCCTTGCCTTGTATCTTTCCACACTCCCATCCGAATGATATTTGACTGTGAATATCCACCTACATCCAACATCTCTCTTCCCTTCTGGCAAATCTGTCAAACTCCATGTCTTATTCTTTTACAACGCTTTTATCTCCTCTTCCACACCCTTTTTCCACTCAGGAGATTGAAATGTTTCTGTCACATTTCTTGGGATTTTCACACTGTTAATGCTGACAGTGAAAGCTCTGAAATTAAGCTGTAATTTCCCATATGCAACATACTTATTTATGGGATGAGCAGTGCATTTTCTTACCCCCTTCCTAATAGCAATAGGAAAGTCATCAAGATCAACAGTAGTAGCCTCTTGGTAACCATCATTACCTTCTGTTTCAGATGCAACAGGATCCAAATCTGGTTTTTGGCTTTCAGAGGCAACATGATCCGAATCTGGTTCTTGGCGAATGCTAGGTTGACTGATTTCTTCAACATCTTTCCTTCTTCTTGAGTAAACACTGAGTTGTTTCGGATGGGGAGTTATGGTTTCAGGGTCATTGTTAGGTGCATTTTTTATAGTGGTGGAAGGGGTTTTGCACGGACTAGAGTTCTGAGGTAAGAAGAAAGGTAATTCATCAGAGTTATTTAGGTTATTCCCATCACCCTCACTAGGAACTAGGACAGTGCTAGCCGGCTTTGGAGAGACACTAATAGGTAAAGAAAGGATAAGCTATAAAGAAATATTGGTTTGAACAGGCTGAAATTCCTTATAACTCTCTCCCTGAATTTTTGTTCCCGAAAAATAATATTGGTTTTCAAAAAATGTAACATCAAAGGAGACATATGTCTTTTTTGTGGAAGGTGAGTAACACTTGTAACCCTTCTGACTCGAAGAATAGCCCAAGAACACACACTTTATGGATCTAGGATCTAATTTCCCTCTGTTGTGGATATGAACAAAGGCTGTACACCCAAACACCTGAGGAGAAAGACTTGAGTTTAAATGTTTAAAATGGGGAAAAATTTGAAACAAAACCTTAGTAGGAATTTTGAAATCTTAAGTCTTACTTGGCATTCTATTGATGAGGTACGTGGCTGTAAGAAGAGCTTCCCCCCAAAGATACTTAGGAGCATTAGCAGCAACCAGAAGAGACCTAGTAACCTCTAGAAGATGTCTAATTTTCCTTTCTGCTACCTCGTTTTGTTGAGGTGTGTTGACACAAGATGTAAGGTGAACAATGCCTTTTTCCTTAAAGAAATACCCAAGAGTTTTATTCAATTACTCACTCCCATTGTCACTTCTTAGAATTTTTATTTTTGTGTCAAATTGGGTTTCAACATTTTGATAAAAACTTTTAAAAAGAGACTCAACCTTAGAATTTTCTCTCATTAAGAATACCCATGTTGTCCTAGAGTAATCATCTATAAAAGACACAAACCACTTATACCAGAAATACTTTTGACAGGAGAAGGGCCCCAAATGTCACTATAGATGATGGAAAAAGGTGTTGTTGGTTCAAATTTGGCTGCAATATATGGTTTTATGTTGTGTTTGGCTATTTGACAAATTTCACAGGAAAACACGGATGAATCTTTATTTATAAATAAGTTTGGTAACATTTTGGAAAGAGAGTAAAAATTAGGATGACCTAATCTAGAGTGCCATAACATAATTTTATCGGTATTGAGATAAGAAGATAAAATTGGTTTCCTAAGAGCACTGGATAAGAAATGATTATGAGATGTTTTACCTCCAAGGGTGTACAATCCTTTGCCCAGCCTAGCACTGCCAATCACCCTCTTCGAGTTCTGTGCCTGAAAAATGCAACCACCAGTACCAAACACAACATTACAACCAGAATCTTTAATTAATTTGTTGACTGATAGTAGATTGCATGCAAGTCTAGGAACATAGAGAACATTATTAAGTATTAGATTTTTGTTTAATGTAACAGAACCACTCCCTTTGACTGTAGTGAGAGAGCCATATGCTATTTTTATAGAAGCTGATAAGCTGCTTTCATTATATTCCTCCAAGAGAATAATATTTCCTGTCATATGATCTGATGCACCCGAGTCTATTATCCATTTTACCGAGAAAGCATATGGATTATTTCCATCAATAGCACTATAAGTCACATTGGTAGGCTTGGTTGTCATGCTGCTCAAAATCTACTGCAGCTACTCTATCTGTTTCTTGCTAAAACTGCTTGAGGAATCATCTTGAGAGGGAATATGGGCCTCCTTTTTAAACCTGGACCGTGTGGGCTGCCAGTCAACTGGTTTTCCGTGCAGCTTCCAACATTGGTCTATCATATGGCCTGGTTTCTTACAATGTTCACACCAGAGGCGATTTTGCCTCTGTTGCACTAAAAATATGAAATCTGAAAAAACAGATTGAGATGGGCTGGTCTGGGAAGTGATTTCGGATGCTGAGGGATCCCGATTAGCCATGAAAAAAAATAGAGTTAAACATGAATTGATTTAAAGAGAAGCGGAAATTGGATTGATCGCTCTAACCTGATACCATGTAGAAATCAGACTATAGAAAGAAAACAGACTGTATAGTAGAAAACAAACTGTAGGAAACAGTCAAGTCTGTTATTTTATTCTTGCATACTTTCAAAAGAAACATATTACATATTTATATACAAATTATGCCTCTAAACTAGGAAACTCTAAGTTAGGAAAGATACTAATCCTAGGAGATGTAATCCCTTGAAATAAGGGATTTGAAAAACAGAAAATAATTACAGAATCTCTTGACAGCTCATATCTATAATTCCTACAATATTCTTATATCCATGTTTGAGCATGCGTTAGACATGAGTGTTGGATACTTGGATACAGTAACTTCAAGAAAACTGAAGAGTGGGAACAACATATGAATCAATTGTTGTGCCAAAATTATATAGTCTCACAAAAATTAGCTTCAAGTTTGCATATTATTATGGTTTCTGAACTTATTCACTGTGCCAGATTATCTCTTTTGACTTTCAATCGACTTTGTTATTTTCTTTCTAAGTTAAGAATTTGATGGAGTGTGTTTTTTTTTTGAAATTGCTGGAACAGGAATCAAAAGAAGGAAGAAAGAATCTGAAGTATCATGTTCGTATTTCAAAATTTCGGTGTTTCTTATTAAGTAATAATCTCTTTTTGCATTAACTCAACCTTGTACTACGATAGTGGTGTTATAAGCATTCCCGATCTCAAACATATTATCAAATTTCATTTTTTTATGTTGCCCCTCAAATATGATAGAAATTCACTAACCTTGTCAGACACTACGATTTACTTGTGCCTACTGACAGGTCATGTTTGGTTTTGAAGTTGAAGTAATTTATAATAACTTAGGGACCTAGAATATCAATCCATTGATGTTGATGATTTCCAAATTTGTCAAATTAAAATTACACATATGTTCTTTTCCATGAGATTTCCCCACCCAAGCAGCCATAAATGGATTCTTACTGATGAAAGTATTTGTAATCTCATCGTTATTTTTACTATGACTTGCGCCAACATATATAGAGAACAAGATGTGTAAAGTTTATGAAATTATGTAGAGGATTGCTTGGTAATTTTAATTTGATCAAGGATATAAGGCATAGTAATAAGAGAGGTGTTTTTGGCATAAATCAGGAATTGCTGATTCTCCAAAGGATAGGAACGAAGAAAACACAAGTTCTTTTCCAAGTTATGCATATGAGAAATAAACTTGTTAATATAATTAATGTAGTTAGAGATATTATAGATTATGATATGATCATAGTACGATATTTTTATGGAATTCCGATACTAAAGTTTGCTTTATTTTTTTCCAAATTTGGTTGGAATATTCTGTACATACCGGACGCTCTTGTACAAACTTGGTTTACGTAATAAATAAGTACTTTAAGTATATTATTTTTTTCATCAAAGTACCTAAAGTATTTTTGGGTCAAAATAAGTACTTAAAGTGTTTTTTTCTCTGAAAGTGGTTCTCTGAAAGTATTGGGAGTGGTCCTCCTATCATGGCTGAGTTATTGGCAATTAAGAGGGGACTTTGTCTTATGGAAGACTTAGGTGCTGTTCCTAATCAGAGGTTTATTTTAGAATCTGATTCATGTAATGCTCTGAAGTGGATCAAGAATCCGGGTTTATGCACCCCTATGTTTCAATCCTTGGTTAAGGAGATAGTCTCGCTATTGGAAGGAAAGGATATTATCATCAGGCACATTTTGAGGGCGGCTAATTGGGAAACTGACAAATTAGCTAAAGACGGGATAGGGTGATTTCTTGTTTTATGTTGGTTGTGTTGAGTTTCAGGAATTTGTTTTCCTGTGTTGTTAGGTGTTTTGAATTAAGTTTTATGTATTTCGTTTGGAGTATTAGCAGTCTGTAAAGGGTATGCCTTTGTAGGGACTGTCTCTGTTCTATTGTTCTTCTAATAATATTGTTGGCACTCTTTTCCCCCTTCCTAGATCCTTCATGTTACTGTTATAACATGGAGGGTTTCAAGGGGTTTTTTAATGAGGCCAACTTTCTATCAAAAAAAGTACTTAAAGTCTTAAATTTATCTTTTTGGTCAAAATAGGTACCTAAAGTATTTTTGGTCAAAATAAGTACCTAAAGTTTTAAGTTTTTTCATCTAAGTTCTAAAAACGTTTACATGTGACATTAATTAAAGAATATTTTAGGTGCTTAGATGAACAAATTGAATACTTTAGGTACCTATTTTGAAGAAAAAGATAAATTTAGATACTTATTTTGATCCAAAAAATACTTTAGGTACTTAAATGTAAAAGGTGATATACTATAGGTACTTATTTGTCAGATAAGCCTACAAAATTATATACAATTTTGGAATATCAACAGTGTAGTCTTACCTTAAAAAAAAGTAGTCTTTTAAGCCTTTTTCCTATGAATGTTGGCTACTATGGTCGAACCATTTATTCCTTTGTGTTCTTCTGATCTTGCCTTCTCTTACTCTTTTCTTGTAGCATTGATAAGGACCTATTTCTGTTGAAATACTTCCATATTTTATCTAGCAAAGATTGTGCGTGTGATCTTTTGCAATGCCTTTCTCACCTTACTGCATTGAGAATTCTTGAAACAAATTTGTGCTTAGTTGATTGAATCAGCTTACTTCTCCCATGGATAAAATAAGTACAAAAGTTAAGTTTCTTTCGCTTCAATGTTGTTAATACTGGAAACCTAACTTTGCAGGTTGAAGATGACATTGAAGAAATCTCTTGCACATCGGAGGTGAGACTTTTTTGTCAACATTTATATAGTTTTTTCAGTTTTGACGATAATTGCACAAAATAAAGTATGTTATCCGAATTCTTAACTTCCTTGCATACTAATACCCGACTCATATTTGGACATGGGTTTAGGGGTAGGATCCTTTCAATATATGTAAAACTGAGTGGACCTGTATATGATGCATATCGTTCCCTTATCTAACACTCATCGTCGAGTCTATATAACATAGGAAGTAAATACTCATAAAAGAGTAAAATGGTGCCCTCCTCCTACAGGTTATTTTAAGATGAATGTTGATGGGGCTGTTAATTTTGATTGGAGAAGAAGTGGTATTGGTGGAGTTCTTAAAGATGCCGTTAAGAACAAGTTGGTTTCTCTTTCTAGAGCACTAGGACCTTCTTCTCCTATTCTTGCTGAGATATTTGCTATCAAAGTGGGGTTAGAAGTGTTTTTTGAGTCAGTTTGGAGGGACAAAGGATTTCTGATTTTGGAAAGTGACTCGTTTCTTGCTGTGAAGTGGATCAACAGCCCGGAACTTTGCCCGGTTCACCTTGTTGATCTGATTACAGAAATTCTGAAGACAGTTGTGCAGTCTAATGTTATAATTAAGCATATCAGCAGATGTACTAATGTGGAAGCTGATTGTCTAGCTAAGTCAGGATTTGGTTAGTGAGTGAGGAGGTTGTTCTTATGAGTAGTGGTTATGGTGTATTATTTTGGTTATGATTCTATGTTAGGTAATTTTAAGTATTGTTTGGAATCTTATGTAATTTTGGGTTATTAATAAATTTAGGCACTCTTTTCCTCCTTCTGCTAGTTGTCTCTTTGCAAGAGGCAACTATGAGGGAGGTTTTTAATGAGCCTTCTATTCTTATCAAAAAAAAAATACTCATAAAAGAAAAACTTTCTCCACTGCCCGCCCATGGTATATTTTCAAGAAACGGCATGTCTGATTATTCGTTATACTGATTTATTCTTATGGACCCTATTCAGGATACTAATGGCAGTGATGAAGATTGGAGCACGTAAAGATATATTGCCACTGTGGTAAATACGAGGATTGACTGAAGTAAAACCAAGCAGGCAGACACTGAAGTGATAAAAGAACAAGAAGAAGCCGAGAATTGGTGATGATGATGGTATGTTTTCTGAGGGGTCCCAGATATGCTAAATTAGTCAGCAATAGGCGTAGCCAATGGCGTGATGGTTATGTTAGAAATTTAGATTTTGACATTGAATACATTTCTCATTGCTCCTTCACTTGGTTGCTTAATCATTAGAAAAAAATAAGCGTTTAGGAGAAGCAAGATAGTAATTTATCATGTAAAACTGTGGTATTGCTGTCAATCAACTTAACTCGAGATAGTTATTCGAAATCTCAGTGAACGGCTGATTTGTTTGTTTTTCATGGGAAGAAAAGTTATCATTTGAAGTTAGAAGGGCATACATTAGAACATAGGCCTGCACAATTGGTTTTTATCTAATAAGAGAGAGCAGTGTTTGAATTTATGCATTTAAATCAGGTTCTTTTACTTTAATGTTATCAATTCCTATACTATTTTTTTATTTAAATTTTCAAATAAAAAAAATAGTAAAAGACCGAGATTTCGAAATTAAAGTATGAAATTAAATTTTAAATTTCTAAATATTATATGGACATTTGTCATATTTAAATCAATCCCAGCATGTCTACATGCACATATACGCATGCATACTCAAAGAGACCAGGGAAAAGGTAAAAATCTAAGAAAGTATAAAGTCTTCATTTTTATCTTAAAAAACTTTGCTGTTTACCTTTAATTTTGAGTGTGTTGGTATTTATTAACAATTTTTAAAAATTCACTTTTAAAACTTGGTGATATTGTTTTAGGACAAAAACGATGACAATATGCCTTTAGTTTCTTTCTAGCACGTAGATCTTCAATATATATATATATATGGATATATATATATGGATTTAGAAAAATTATCTTATTCAAACACTCAACACAAAATTATGGTATTTTTAATTTTTTCAATATATAGTTTAAATAAAAATACTATTAAATATATTATATGTACAGTTTCATTTAAATTATCTTAATTTGTGAATTTTTTTTTTTTAATTCATGTAATTTTAATTTATTTATATCTCAAAAATAAAAAGTTATCTAAACTTTTTATGACTTTATTATAATAATTAATAACTATCGAAGTCTTTGAATGTTATTATAATGTCATGATGGATGTTGGATTAGGATTCGAGAATGATGGATTGGGCAAACAATTGAATAATGCGCAGAAAGTGTAAGGGATTTCTCAACATTTGGGAATTGGAGAGGAAAGGAAGGGAGTCAACGACAAGTCAAATGGGATCTTGATGGGTCAGACAAAAGTGGCCCAAGCGAGTAATCAGTATTCTGCAACAGTAAGTGGATTCAGGAGAATGGGGCGGCTATAATTCGATTCATGCATGAGGAAGACCCAACAAATGAGCATATGATCCAGACCTGTAAGGGTAAAGTCCAGTTAGTAGAGAATAGTACAATTGTTTAGCTGGCTTTTTGGTGGTACCTTGCACAAAGATAAAACTTGTACCTTGAACTAGGAATTCTTATCTTTTGAATGAAATTGCATATTTTTCTTCCTAAAATCTCTCTAATTCTAAAAACTCTGAAATCTTATCTTAATTCACCCCCAATTTGTGACAAATTAGTAATCAGAGTCTGATTCTGGCAACAAAAAAATTGGGTAAACCCAGTAAAAGTAACCAATGGTAGATAACATAAGCCTAGTTGTTATTCAACAGAAGGTAGATGATATACAAAGCCAAATGGAAGGTTTGAAGGATGACTCCAAGCCTTCTAAATGGTGGGAGAAAAAGGAAAAGAGATTGGATAACCTGGAAACACAGTCTAAAGTGTAACACCCTACACCAATACGACACACAGTCGACCGATAAGAGTGTCACACAGAACCACCAGAGTGGCTAACAAATTTTTTTCTTAAACTTGTTCAATAAAAAACATTCAATTGTAATTACTTATAATAAAATAAACAATAACATTTATATAAATCAGTTTACATCGGGAGCTCCTTAAATATCAGTTCAAAATATCTAGACCATCAAATTTAAGATGAATTACGACTCGATTATACAAAACATGGTTACAATATACAAAATAAGGATTTCAGAATATGCATGCCCTCTAAAGAACTCGAGACGTACTCTGCTCTGAATCTTTCCAGATCACTGTTGATCAAAATGCTCATCTACTGCTCTTCACCTAATATGCATAAGGAAACAAATTCCAAACACTAAGCTAACTAGCCCAGTGTCACACTAACAACTAAATTATACTAAAATTGCATCAAAAATATGTTTAAGCTATCAGATCTCATGCATCAATGAGTATGCTCGTATACCCACTCTCTACTCTAGGGTAGACATCATGATGCGACTAAGGGTTTTGAGTCTCAGATCTCACACACCCCTCTAGTCTACCAAGAATGTGGCCCGAAATCTCTACATTGGACATAACACCCTCGACTAACCCACCCCTCGCAGGTATCAGACCTCGCGCCCTAGTTAGTCAGTTTAAAGTGCCTCACACACTACCTAAGGATATCTGTACTGAATATATTCATCGAAATCACTATCTTTAATAAGAGAACTCGAGTATCCTGATCGTTTCCCATGCATCAATCAAGGCTAGTCTTATGTTACCCTAATTGATCTCGATTCTAAGTGTAATTAACATTATTATTGTTTTCACTTGTAGTCTTATTTGAGAGCAATGAAAGATTTCTTGGGAACCTTATTTGCCCTTTATAATCCTTTAAAAATTTATGACCCAAAATGTACAATGGTACCGATACTGGCCATTCCGTATCGGTACTGTTCCATTAATATTGATATATATCTTTAGGTATCTATACTCCACTCTAAGTGCAATCGATGAAGAAGGGAACAATATTGATACCTCTCAACTAGTATCAATACTTCTAAGCTAGGGTACCGATACTAACCAGGGTATCGATACCAATTTTTTATTCGATGTTATGAAAATTTCTTCTGTATCTATACTCCCTATAGGAGTATCGATACTCTACCCTAGGTATCGTTACTCCCATGAGTATCGATACCAAATTTGGATTCGATGTTTTAAAAAATGTCCCAGTATCGATTCTTTCCCTTTGAGTATCGGTACTCCTTCAATAACTTAAGAAAATTTATCACTGGAGAATAACAATATTGGTATTGGTCTTACAGTACTGATATATTCTGTTCGAAATGGCCTTACTTAGTTTCAAGCCTTTGATCTTACAAAATATGCTTCATGTTCTTGATATTAAGAAGAAGTTGTTGTCTGTCTCTCAGTTTACACGTGATAATAATGTATTTCTTGAGTTTCATCCATTTTAATGTTTTGTGAAGGATGCTAAGACTCGGACCATTTTGTTGCTAGGAAGCTCACGGATGAAGGGTTGTACCATTTGCTTCCTTGTGTTGAAAAGGAACCTCGATGTCTTGTGAATAATGTGTCAAAATCACAAGCTCTTTTGGATATTTGGCATATATGTTTATGTCATTCTTATGTTAAGACTGTGAAGGCTGTTATGAAATCATGTAATGTGTTTTCTGATGCCAATAATCTATCTCAACTTTGTACTGCTTGTTTGCAAGGCAAAGCTCATAAGCTACCATTTTGTAATTCATTGACTGAATATACAACTCCTTTCCAATTAGTTGTCTCGGATGTATGAGGACCAACACCTTTTAATTTTTCTGATGGTTATGTATTATGTGTCCTTTATTGACGTGTTTAGCAGACATACTTAACTCTATTTACTTAAGCGTAAATTTGAAGTGGGGCAATGTTTTGTTAATTTTTATAAAATGGTTGAATTTCAGTTTGGACAGAAAATAAAGGTTGTGAAAAGTGATGGTGGTGGTGAATATCAGGCACTTCATGTGTGGTTTCTTACTCTTGGGATTCAACATTGAATTTCATGTCCAAATACATCATAACAAAATGGAAAGGTTGAGCGAAAACATATACATGTAGTTGAAATGGGACTAACTTTGTTGGCTCAAGCAAATTTGCCTCTGAAATTTTGGAGCCATGTTTTTACAACAGATGTTTATATAATAAATCGATTACCAACTGATGTTCTAACTGGTAAGTCTCCTTTTGAGATACTTTATCAAACATCACCTAATTATTCTGGTTTGAGGGTGTTTGGTTGTGCTTGCTTTTCATTTCTAAGGCCTTTTAATAGGCACAAGCTGGAGTTTTGATCTCGGCAATGTATTTTTCTTGGGTACAATTCATCTCATAAGGGTTATAAATGCTTGGATAAGAATGGTCGAATATTTGTATCTCGTCATGTAATTTTTTATGAGACAATGTTCCCCTATAGTGTTTGCAAGGTTGTTGATAAACATGGTAATGCTCATAAAGTTTCCAATAGAGTGATTGTTGTTTCACAAGATCCGTCTCCAGTTGATAGAGGTGTTAATGTTGAGCATATGACTTCAGTTCAAGATTCTTGTAATGTTAATGAACATGTAGTTTTACCTAACCCTAATGTTATAACTGATCAAGGGTTGACTACTACTGGTATTAATGAGTTGATTAATGATGTAAATTAAGTTTTCATGAAAGAGGAGGAACATGGTTCTGGAAGTGATGTGATTTCATTGAACATAATGCCTACTGTATCAAAAGAGAATGAGGTGATTTTGCCTAGAGTTAACAGAGAGTCATGTTCACGTGAGGTCATGCATGAGCTAGCTGCTTCAATGGACAATGTACCTATTTCTAATGATTCAAATCTTAATGTTCATCATATGATTACCAAAAGTAAACGAGGGATTTGGAAACCAAAATTATTTCAGGTTTCGAGTTCTAATCAAGAGCCTCGCAATATAAATGAGGTTTTAATGTATCCTCATTAGAAGACTGCTGCGCAAGAAGAATATGATGCATTGGTTAAAAACAAAACCTGGTTGCTTGTTCCTCTTCCTGCTAATAGGTGAGCA